GTCTATAATGGCTTGTATGTAGGTGCTGAAGATCAAACTCAGATCTTTATGCTTGCAAGGCAAACACAACCAACTGCGGAGCTTCAGTTCTATTGTGTGATTAAATACCCTGACAAATCCAATATTAAGGGAGAAAGAATTTTAGCTCACAGGTCCATCGTTGCAGAGAAATTAAGCCAGGAGCTTTAAGCAGCTGGTCACATCCACAGTCAAGAGGAGCGAGAGAATGAGAACACGCTTGTTCATGCTCTGCTACTCTCTCCACTTACACGGTTCAGGACCCCTGTCTAGGGGATGGTTTTGCCCGCAGTGGCCTGAGTCTTCCCACATCAATTAATCTCCTTCAGACCAAACTGATTTAGACAATCCCTTGGGATCCTCGCTCTTCCCAAGTGATTTCTTGATTAGGTCAAGTTGACTATTAAAAATAGCCAGCACACCAACCGTGCTCTCTCCTCAGGCCCCATGAGAGAATGTTTCTATCAGGGCTTCTCTTGTAGTATGTGAGTCACCCGCACAGCTCCATGGGGCTTCCATCTCCTGCAGGAGTGCCCAGGTCTGCCTTGAGGCTCCTATAACAAATCATCCTAAGTGTGGGGGCTAAACAACAGAAATGTATTCTCTTACAGCTCTGGAGAACAGAAATCTAAAGTTAAGGTTTGGACTCCTTCCAAAGGTTCTAAGGAGGATCCATCCTGCTCCCTCTAGGCTCTGATAGCTCCTGCCATTTCTGGGCCAAGGTCTGGAACTTCAACCTCTTTCATGGTCTCCTGTGTCTTCTGTCACTTAAAAAATGCCAGGAATAGGGAAATGGCTCAGCTGGTAAAGATATTTGCCTCAGACCTTCAAAACACATCTGTAAACACCAGGTGATGGTAAGGTAAGAGGCAGAGACAGGTGAATCTCCTGGAAGCTGGAGTCAGCTGGCCTGGCCTCTGGGGACAATGTTCCGGGTCAGTGACAGACCTTGTATCAAACAAAAGGTGGGAAACACCTAAGGACCCACACCAGAGGCTGTCTTCTGGTCTTCCCCCTCATACCATTTATGCATGTACACACAAAAACACACACAAACACACACAAATGCAAAAACCAACCAACAAACAAAAATACTATTCTGACATGGGGAGATGTCTCAGTGGCTCAAGTACTTGCTGGACAAGCCTGAGTGCCTGATTTTTTTAAATTTATTTTATGTATACAAGTGCACTGTTGCTGTCTTCAGACACACCAGAAGAGGGCATCAGATCCCATACAGATGGTTCTGAGCCACCATGTGGTTGCTGGGAATTGAACTCAGGACCTCTGGAAGAGCAGTCAGTGCTATTAACCACTGAGCCATCTCTCCAGTGCCTAAATTTGAATCCCCAGAACACACATGAAGAAGCCAGGTATGGTGGCATGTACCTGTAACTTCTTTGCTGAGGAAGTGGAGACAGGTGGATCCCCAAACTCCCTGCCCAGCCAGCCTGAAATGGTGAGCTCTGGACTGTTAAGAACTAAAGTATGGACCAGTTGAGGAAGCCATCTTCTGCCCTGGCTGGCCTCAAACTCTCCTGCTGCTATCACCAGAGCGCTGGGGTTAGCTGTGCTCAGCCTCATCCATATCTTTTTATTTGATTTCAAAATCATCTTTTATTTTTCAGTGTTATGAGGACTTAAATTTTATTATGGTGCACATGTGTGTGATGGAGATGTGTGTGGAGGTCAGAGGACAACTTTGTGAAATTGCTTTGTTTCACCTTTCTGTGGGGTCCAGGGATGGACCTCAGGTCATCAGGGTTGGCGGCAAGTGCCTTTACTCTTTACCCAGCTCACCATCCACATTTATTTATTTTAAAATAAGATTTAGATGTTGGAGAGATGGCTCAGTGATTAAGAGCACTGACTGGTCTTCCAGAGGTCACAAGGTCAACTCCCAGAATCTATGTGGCAGCTCTATAGTTCCAGGGGATCCAGTGCCCTCTTCTGACTGCTGAGGGTACCAAGCACATGCTTGTGGTACACAGACATACATGCAGGCAAGACACCCATACACATAAAATAAATAATATTTTTTAAAAATTAAAAGCACTGCTGTTCTTACAGAGGACCAGGTTTCAGCCCCCCTTCTGACCATCCACAGGTACTGCATGCACGTGATGCACACGTATGCGAGGAAGACACTCATCATACAACACAAAATAGGAATAAACATTAAGCAATAATAATAATAAAAGATTTCATTAATTTTCCCAGCTGGCCCAGTGATTGGGATTGTGGGAGTGTACCACCATGCCCCACAGGAGATTCTTCTTGGAAGAAGGAAAATTATTATTCAGTGAATATGGACAATTATTTTGCATAGTATCATTTTGTACAACTGTGCCTTTTACTACTATAGACACTAAGGAGTAAACTGCTTACGTTTTAAAAGGCAACCTTGACTGGTAACTAGTCACTAGGGACAGACCTACTCTGATCATAAAGCCTGCCAGAGACTGGGAGACGTAAGAATGAGCCACTGGATGACCTCTCAGAGGGGTGCCCAAGGCCCAGAGACACACTAACCCACTTTCCTGAGATGCTTCAACTGTCTTTTGGGAGCAAAGGGTTTCCCTGCTATGGGTATCTGTGCGGATAGCCCCGGACCCAGCTCTGAGCACTGGTTTCCTCCAGGATTGGGCACTGAGCCAGAGACTTCCCACTAAGTTCCTTCTCTGTTCTCTCTGATATTTTCTCCTCTTTCTTGGGTCCTTTCTCTTACTTTTTTGCTACTTGAAGGCTGCGAGCTGATGCTGAGAACATGGTTGTTAGTAAAGCGTCTGCTGCCACTTGTGTATTCCAGAACCACTATAGGGGAGCTGGTTGTGGTGCCTGTCTTATCACCCTAGTCCTGGCCAGGGGAGGGTTCAGAGGCAGGCAGACCCCTGGTGTAGCTGTTTTGTGAGCTCCAGTTTCAGTGGGAGGCCTTGTCACAAAAAAATAAGAGGCTTGGGAGATGCCTCGGCAGCTGAGAAAGCTTGCTGTTCTTTAAGAGGACTCAAGTTCAGTTCCCACGGACACACAACCACCTGTAACTCCAGATCCAGGGGATCTGACAAACTCTTTTGGATTCTTCAAGCACTAGCCCATATGCTACACATGTGTGCACACATACAGAGGCTGCTAACCGAGACACACACCTACAAGGCTGACACTGGCCTGGGTTCTTGATGAGGACCTCATGCCTGAGGCCCTGCCTATCCTGAAGCCACCAATGCTCCTGCTAATACAAAACTGAGTCTGTTGGTCCTCTAACTAAGCCACCCCATCGCATCTTGAACTTAAGCTATAACTGAGCTGGGTCGGCAGGCATGGCCTCTCTTTGCCTAGGAATGCCCTGCACGGCCTTCCAGCTGCTCTCCCAAGTCTCTCCCCCAGGGCCCTCCTCGATCCACCAAGCCTTGGGTTCAGGCTGTTATCGAATACACCTACCTTCCCTGATTGTAAAGAAGTACCCTAGAAGTTGTTGGGAGACATCTGTTCTCTTGAGACATCTGTTCTTCTTCTAGAAGGGTAGGTCTTCCTGGCTCAGTGTTCCATCCGTGTCTGATCCAGAGCTGTGTTCAGTAGACATGACTGAGTGACAGTGGGAGAGAATGGATAGAAGTTCTCAGCGGTCAGCTAGAGCCTACATTTCCTGCCCTTATGGTATCCCAAAGAGAAACGCTGATGCATGGGGTCTCCAAGTTTCTGGAATGGATCAGTCCTGGGCAACGGAAGAAGAGACAGGTTCTCAACTTGCCACTGTTTCTGAAGAGGGAAGGAACAAGCTGAGCAACTGAGGCACAACAGCTTGCCTTTTTTTAGCTTTAGATTTTAAATTTGTATTTTTATATGTATGAGTGTTTTACCTGTCTCTGTACCATGTGTGTGCCTGGTATCCAAGAAGGCCAGAGGGGATCAGCCTGGATCCCCTGAGGCTGGAGTTACAGCTTATGGTTGTGAGCTAACATGGGGGTGCTAGTAACTAAACTTAGGTCCCCTGCAAGGGCAGCTGATGTTCTTAACTGATAAGCCATCTCTGCAGTACACTCCAGCCCTTTTAAAAAATTTGCACTTTGCCTGGCAGGGGACGAACCCAGGGTCTTACACAAGCCAACACCCTCTTCCTGAGCCACACACCAGTGTTCCATGATAGTCTTAACTGCAGAAGTTGTCATTTCTTGAATTTGTCTCTTTCCATGTTTTATTTTGTTTTGCTTTGAGACTGGGTCTCATGTAGCCCAGGCTGGCTTTAAACTTACTGTGTAGCTGAGGATGATACTGAATTTCTGATTTTTCTGCCTCTGCATCTCAAGCACTGGGATTGGAGGGCTGGTTTTATTTGGTACCAGGAATGGAACCCAGGGCACCTCACATGGTAGGTAAGCACTGAGCCACGTGCCCTCACTCCGAATGCCTTCTGTTATGTTCCTGCACTGTAAGGCAATATGTCCCCGAACTGTGGGTCTAGTAATCTTGAGAATCATGTTGTCCCCACAGGAGGGGAAAAATTAGATTGTCCTCTTGTGGAGAAAGAATGTTCTCTCTCTCTCTCTCTCTCTCTCTCTCTCTGTGTGTGTGTGTGTCTGTGTCTGTGTGTCTGTGTGTGTCTGTGCATGTGTGAGCTCACATGCTCAGATTTGGCAGCAAACATCTTTACTTCCTGAGCCATCTTTTGGGGTTTTAATGGTAGAAAATTGCCATGTGAAGATCATCAGCTCCTGCTGAATGTCAACTCCAGTCACTGCTGGTGATGTCTATCAGATACGTATTCTCAGCAACAAGCTGAAAAGAACCTATGGTAGCCACTGTCACTGCTGCCTTTGTCCTGGCTCCTCCAGGCCCAAGCTAGCTAGAGCTGGCACCTTCCTGCCTGCCCTGCCTACAGCTGCTTTCACTCTTCCTCTAGGATTGAGGCTTGGGAAGGGAGGGGAGCAGAGTACAAGCCCCAGTTGACTGAGCCTCAATCAGCCGTGCTTTCCCTATGTCCACAGGTGGCTCCCCATCTTGCTACATTCCCTACTGAGGCTGATCGCCAGAGAGCTCTCAAAGCCCACAAGGAAGAGCATGCTGTGCGCCAGGGCACCCTGCGGATGGGCAACTACACCCACCCCTAGCCCTCCCCGCAGGAGGAGCCTCCGAGATGCTCTAGAAAAAAAATCCCCAAGGAACTCAGTTTTCTCCCCCAAACTCCAGGAAGACATTTCTACATTTTGACACAGCCCTCTGCCACAGGGACCTCAGACTCAAGTCTTAGGTTACTTATTTTCTTTATAAGAATCCCAACCCCCCTTACCCTTTTTTTAGACAATACAAGTCTTATCTTTCTCCCAGTTTCCCTCTGCCTAGAAACCACCATCCTCCTCAAAATTCTCTTCCTCCTCTCTTTCCCACTTCCTCTCTTCTTCCTTTTCTCTTTCCATGTTCACCCCTCCTCCTTTTTCAGGAGATCTACTCTGTCTCTTTGCAAGTCTTACTTTACATGATAAACCAAAAATACAAAGCAGTTCTTAAAAAAAAAAAAATCCAGGCTAAGAATCAATTTCATGGCCCTGTCTATGCCTCTGTACTTCCTGCAGAAAAGTGTAGCACCAGCAGGCTTTGAAAGCACTCATTTCTTATTCCAAACATGAGTTTTAATTACCCTTCTGGGGATGACTGGGGTCTCGACACGGCAGGATTGTCTCTCTGGGACCCTTGACAGCAGGAAGAGCCCTCGGTTCATTACTCAGGGCCAGGCCCCGCCCTCAATGCTGTGGCCCTGTCAATCAGTCAGACCAGCATGGACTTCTTAAGACTACCTGGCTGTGGTTCACCCCTCCAAAGGAGAAGGCCTTGTGTTGAGCAGGTGGTTGAGGGCAGTCCAGCTGTGGGATATCTCTAGTACTTTGAATCACACTTTTCTCCGGTGTCTTTGGCTTCTCTCCACAAATTACAAAAGGATTTATTTTAAATATAAGAAAGATGACTTGCTCTCTTCTCCTGTGTCTTTATTTGAAAGCACACTGTAACGAGAGTGAACTGTAACAGGAATGAACTAATGGGAGATGTGGCTGATGCTCCTCAGTGCCTTTCGAGGTAAGCCAACCTCAACATCATGGCCACAGAGCCCTTCCTCAGGCCAGTTTTCAAGGCTTTGAGAGCTTGTCCGAGTCATTCTTCTATGGCTGTGAAGAGACACCACAACCACAGCAACTCTTATAAAGGAAAATATTTCACTGGGGCTGGCTTACACTTTCAGAAGTTTGGTCCATTATCTTCACGGTGGAAAGCATAGTGACATGCAGGCAGGCAGGGTGCTGGTGAAGGAGCTTGAAAATTCTGGATCCACAGGCCACTAGGCCTGACTTGAGCATTTGACTCCCCAAAGCTTACCCCCAGTGACACACTTCCTCCAAAAGGGCACTTAATTCCTATCGAACAGTGCCACTCCCTAACAACCAAGCATTCAAACATCAGAGCCTATGGGGGCCATTCCTATTCAAACCATCATCGAGCCCCAGGCAACTTGAGGTTCTCAGGCCTCACCTGTGCCCCTGCCTGGCTGATGCCTGGATTAGGAGTCTGCCATTTGTTTATTTCTAATCAACTCCACTACACAGAACTGTTTGCCCCAAACCTGCTTCTTCCTCAGTCTTCCCAGGTCATAAGTGACACCATGTACCCAACTGCTAAAGCTCAAACCTTCCCTTGCTCAGGTCCCTTTATCTGTCACATCTAACCCACCACAAGATTCTGGGGGTGTAGTTCAGTTGGTAAGAGTGCTTGCCCAGCACATACAAAGCCCCAAGTTCCATCGCCAGCATGGTGTAAACCCAGTACAGAGTCTCACACCTATAACCCCAGCTCTTGGACACAGAGGCATGTGGACCAAGGTAACATAGTAACCTTGGGCTGTGTGGGACATGGTCTTAGAAAATGTAGGCATAGTGGTGCAAGGCTTAAATCCCAAGACTCAAGAGGCACAGGCAAAAGGATGTCTGTGAATTTGAGGCCAGCCTGGTCTACAGAGTGAGTTCCAGGACAGCCAGGGATATATAGTGAAGGCCTGTCTCAAAACAAAAAGCAGAAACAAAACAAAAAAGAAAAGAAAGAAAAATAGGTGCATGTGACTCACCAGGATCCTGCTGATGCTGTCTGCAAAGCGAACCCAGCAGCCCTGCCTTTCTAGCTCCTTGCCCTGCATCTGAATTGCAACCCAGCTCAGAGAAGTTCAGTAGGCTCCCCCACCCCCTCCCATCCCCCCCACCTGCTCACCCTCCCTACCCCCCTTCCCAACTCCTTACAAGCCTTGCTCTAGAGCAGGCTTTCAAAGACTGTGGCTTCTGAAGGAAGAGGCCCAGGTCCAGCAGCCAAGGTCCTCAGACCCAGCAGGAAGTCACTTCCTACCTGAGAACTGAGTCACCTCCCGCCTCCTGCCCCTTCTCCTTCCCCTCTGGGCATGCTCACTTCTGCCTCAGGCTTAAAGTCTGTTTTCTTCTCTGCCTGCTGCACTGGAGGTCCACACTGTCACCTGCCTCTTCCTTGTCTTTCAGATCTTACCTGAGTCCCTCCTCCAACAGCCCCAGGTAAATTCACACCAGCCTGTGGGAATTCTCTGCAGCACACGACCCCACTCCAGTTTCTTCACTGCCTTACTGTCTGTCTTCCCTCCAGAGGGACTCTATCCCTGTCATCAAGGATCTCAGACCTCAGAGCCAAATCCCAGGGGTCACGGGCTGGGCACCTGGTAGGTATTCAGGGCCATCTGCGTAGTACCCACTGATTGGAGATCCCCTGGGCCTGGATGGTTGCTGTAGCACCAATCTAAATAGGTACACACATCACACACACACCTACACACACATTAGCAGTCCATGTGTGTGCACACGTGTATTCATGTGCAACGCACACACCCCTGTGCTGTAGCCCATTAGCAGCCACGCACCGACCCCTGGGACCCTGGCTCAGCGAGGCCGTGATGAACCCTACACCACCTTTGGACTTGAACCCTGTTCTCATTCCCAGAGAGAGACAAGTCTCCTGACTCATTTGGCTACAGTCATCTTGAGTCCCTGAGCCTGGTGGAGATGCAGAGGTGAGCCAAAGAGGGAATTCAGCCAACAAAGCGAGCCAATCAGGTCACTGTGGCTAAGAGGGCGGAGCTGGCATGATCTGGAACTCTGAGCCTGGGTGTGAGGCATGATCCTGATCCATCATACCCAAGTTGGAAGGATCTTAAAGAACTCGTGCATAGTGGTCATGTGATAGACTTCACAAACATGACTTTTGGTTTTCTTGTGCTAAGCCACACTCAGGTGAGTGAGATGTCAGTCCCATGGTTATAGGGACTAATAGGGAAGGAAATGATATTTGGGATTGAGCCATCTTTTAGCAAGAGGACTCGCTGTATTGAGAGCTAGAGAATTTTCTAAAGCACTGCCTCTCGCTCTAAAGAACCCTGGGCTGTGAGCTACCAAGGATGGGGTTAGACTTTGGCTTTGAGAGTAGCTGGCAGTACCAGGCAGTCTCCAGTAGCTGGCTGAGGCAGTGCTTGGACTCATCCAGCACACATTCTCAAATGTCTTCTTTGTTCAGCTATTGTTTGTCCTGTGCCAGTTGTGGGGCCTGTGAGAAATGTCTGAGTGCTGTCCCCATGGGTCACGCTTGCTCGGGCACAGCCAGAACTCAGTGAACTCAGTGTAGACCCTCAGCTACTTGTCCTACAGCGCCACCCTCTGGAGAGCCAGAGGCAGACCGTGGCGATTCCTGGCCCTGCATCTTGGTTCTTCCAAGCTCATCAATTATTTGAGCCTTTACAAAGCCCCACATCTGGGTCTGGTCTGATTTCACTGCTTCAAGTATCCTGTCACATTAGCCAAAGCCCTGCCCCCACCTGAGCCTGGCTTGTGTTTTGGGTGCAGCTGCCTGCTGCCTGCCCCCTGTTGATCTAGGATAGAATGGCCCTGAAGGCTTCAACCTGCACCGACTGGGGATTCATTTTGTTAACTTCGTGAACCTCCTTCTACCACAGTCCCTCAACAATTTTGCAGGTGGCAAATACATGTTCCAAAGACACTAGAACCCAGGGCTAGGGAGATGGTATCGTCAAAAATTGCGTGCCTTGCAAGAATAAGGACTTGCCTCCTCTTCTTCCTAATCCTCTTCTTCCTCCTCCCCCCTCCTCCTCCTTGACAGTGTCTCACTATGTAGCTCTGTCCTGGAACTTGATATGTAGACCAGGATGGCCTCAAACTCAGATATCTGACTCCCTTCACCTCCTAAGTGCTTGGATTAAGGTGTGTGTGCCAGCACACAAAGCCAATGTACCCGCCATCCCAGTGTTAAGGAGGTGAATCCAGCTGGATCCCTGGAGCTTGCAAGCCAGACACCTAGACTAGTTGGCTAGCTCTCACCAGTTTAGTGAAAGACTCCATCTCAAAAAGTAAAGTGGATGGCTCCTGAAGAACATCATCTGAGGTGATTCCTCCTAACACACAGGCGCGCACACACACACACACACACACTCAAAAATAGAACTGAGTAAGGGTAGACTACGTATCATTTCACCTGCCCCTAAAATGACTTCTCAACTCGTGATGTACACAAGTGGGGAGAACTTAGCCTTCCATCCCAGGCCCTCCTCCAGTAGTGCTGGTGAGTACAGGTGTCATGAAGGTGTGCCTGGAGCCATCCTCAACATCACCACTTAGAATTCAGGAGCATTCTTCCTCTCACTTGGTTTCTTGGCCCTGGTCTCTAGGAGCCACAGGAAGGAATGAGATCTGGATCCACTCTGGACCGCTTACAATTTTTTTCACTTGCCTTCTGAGGTGGGAGCAGGTAGTGCCAAGCAGATATATATGTATCTGGCAGGAAGGGACAGCACCAGCATGGACGGGCCTGTGGTCTAGGAGTGTTGAGACAGAGCCCTGAAGGAAGGGCTTACACAGAATGAAGAGTTCCAGGAACCACCTGGAACCTTCGAGGGGAGCTGTGGAGGTTAGAGTGCCACTCAGCAACAAGACCAGAAGAGACCTCAAGCATGGCAGGATCCCATCTCCTCTTGTGCTGAGCCCCTGCTACCTACAGTATAAAACCCAAACTAGTATCATTCATATTCCTGTTCCCTGAATAACCCAAGAATATTTTCTTCCTTGAGACAAGATCTCATGTAGCTCAGGCTAGCCTTGACCCCTCTATTTAACCAAAAGTGAGTAACTGAATTCCTGACTCACCTGCCTCCATCCCCCAAGTGCTGGGATTACAGACATGTACTACCAGTGTACTACGATTCCCAGTTTTACCTGGTGCTTTGAGCCTGCTAGGCAAGCACTCTACTGAGCTGAATGAAGTGCAGCCCCATCACCCAGATATTAACTTTCTTGTCTAGAAGGAAGGAAAGCTGTTTCTGAAATATAACTTCTTTAGCAAAGAAAGCAGGGTTATCAGCAAGGTGCCTGCCACTTGCCTGAGACATTTCATAGCCCCAGATCTAATCCCAGTTTCCAGAGGGGACCCTGGGTCCAGAGAAGGCTTGTTCTTTTTCCAAGTTAGGGCTGTGGCCTGACCTGACATTCATGAGATCCTGGATTCAATCCCAAGTATCATACTATGTTTTTAAAACACCCATCTTGAAAGCCGAGCATGCTATACCTTTAATCCCAGCACTCAGGAGGCAGAGGCAGGGGGATCTCTGTGAATTCAAGGACAGCTAGATCTATGTAGTGAAACCCTGTGTCAAAAATCACTTGGTATTTTTTCTTAGACAAGATTTTCCTGAGAAGGCCAGGCTGCTGGCCTTGGACTTGCTGTCCTCTGCCCCCATGTCCCTCTCTACCCAGTCCTGGCTTAGCATTCCTAATCTGCTCATTCTAGCACCCCAATTACTGCTGGCTCTGAGGGGGCAGAGAAAGCAGCCCCCTGCTCTGGTGCTGAGGTGAGCCTGTACTGTGGCTACACTGCTCTGTGTCTTCAGCCTAGCAGTGTCTTTT